TTTTTTTTTGTCAAAATGTCCTTAAAACAATTTTATACATATATTCTAATCTAAGTGATGCTAAATATCATGAAAATTATCTATTTATGCGCTTTTTTAAAATCACGGTTCCGAACGTAGTCGGACACCTTAACTGTAACTCTTAATAAAAAGTAACTAAAATAAAATTTTTCTTTGTTGGCCTAAGTAGGAATTGACCTAATTTTTTTTTTATATTACTTGTTTTGTTTTTGATAACAACAACAATGTACATTTAATTCATTTAACTCAGCGGTTCTTAAACTTCTGATAGCCGATTCCCACTTTTATGTATCAGCTTGACATCGCAGTCCCCCAAGAATTTGAACACCTAGCACATGGCTGAGTGATATAAAAGGGCTTCAATAATCCTATAAGACTGCCTCTGCTACATATATAGACCTTTTTTTTTATATTTAAGAAAACAGTAAACATCGAATTAAAAATATTACAAAATACTAATTTAAAATAAGTAATGCATTTAACTTTATTAATTAAAATGTTTAATGAGATAGTGCAGCATTTCTATTACGAGTTATGCTATATCAGGCGTAACACATTTGAAATATGCCATCTTAATTCCGGTTCTACTCTTTGGGATGGATACAATCGTTATGGTATTGGCGCGCTATGAATTCAGTTCTTAATCTTTGTACATGTACAGCCGGACCTCTATATAACGAAGTCGCTAAATCCCGAAAAAAAAGTTCATTATATGGAAAATTCGTTATTTGGAGGTTCACCTTTCAATATACTTTATAAACCACATAAAACAAATTTTAAGTTCATAGACACTATATATTAAAATAAGTAATTATTCACACATACCTTTTTGTAAATTAATATATATTTATTTTAACTATCAAAAGAAAGAAAAATTGCAAGGAAAGTTTCTTGACGCCTTTATCCACTTCCTGAAGAATGAAATATTTTTCTCTGATGTTCAAGCACTTGCGTTTTGACATTTTCGAGCTTCTAGAAACGAAGTTACCAGTACGGCTGATCAACACTGCAAATGAACGGAGACTAGTTCAAGGACACGAGACAACTCCACTGAGGTTGAAAGGGGATATCGAAGATGTTTACAGAGAACTGGACAATGGGGGTCGAAGATTGCACTTTTTGGATGAAACGCCCAGAATTCTATTCTCTGGGCGAATTAGGCACCTAATAAAAACCATTTCAAAATTTATGACCACTATAAAATGTGTTTAAACAGAGAATAACTTGAAATGTCCAGAAATACTTTAAAAATAGGGAGAGAAAAAAATTGAATCACAAGAGAAAAAGTTCGTTATGTAGAAAATGCACTTCACTACAGAGAGGTTATTTTACGAAGAAAATCGTAAAATGCTCTTGGTTCCAGGAAAAAGTTCGGTATATAGAAAAATTCGCAATATAGAGGTTCATTATACAGAGGTTCGACTGTATTTCTACAATTTTTTTTTAACTCATTAATTAGTAATAATGGCTACTTAGTTAAAAACTATGAAAATACGGATACCATTCTTGATCGAAATTCATGTTCTTGTTGAGTTTTTTCATTGGAGGCACAATTTAGAATTTATAGTCTAGGATGGCACATCTTTCACAATTGTTCCACGAGGCTTATCAAAGTCTGTAAAAGAGGAAAACTACAATAAACAATACTACAATAAAACAACTCCGACTACAATAAAATTGTGAATTTTGCCAAAAATTGACAAATTTTTATTTTATTTATAGGTCATTTTATTAGCTTTATAAAAATACCAAGTTCATTTTTTTCCGTTCACTAGAACAAAAACTACAAGTGTTTTAGTAAAAGCAGATGGCATTACTTTAAGCAAGATGTCATACATTAAAATGCGTTTTACTCGAAATGAGCTTTTTTTAAAATTCTCAAACGGGGACAGCGGTTGCTCAAAAAGTTTTGAAAATAACGAATTGAAATTTTTTGTGTATGTTCTGTATAATAGTAGAGGTCTTCAGGTTTATCAATCACTGCTTTATTACAAAATTTACTGTTCATTATGTCAATCTAATCACTGTTTTTTTAAGCAATTTCGTATAATAACTAATATAAAGTGCTCCAGTTTTTGTAAAAATTAAAATATCTCTTATCCTGAAGGCCATTTAAAAAATGAATAACATAGCAATACATCAGAATTGAAAAATTGAAAATTTGTTCATAAACTTTTGATACAGATTGAGCTCCATTTATGTTATTTTTTGTAAATTTCTTATCAACTTTTTCCCATTTTAGTGATAGTAATTTTTTTTCTGTTCTTAATTTTAGCATATTTTTCTTAAAATGTCTAAACAAATCTAAAAATCACAAAAAAGTCTCCATTTTTTTCAAAAAAAAAATTGTCGCAAGTAGTTTGATACCTTAAATGAGAGGTCTTCGAGGACCCCTAGATAAGCATTGCGGATCCTCGGAAGTCCACTGACCACAGTTGATCAGTTGAAACTGATCAGTCCATCATGCTTCATGATAAAATATAAATAATAGGTATTTATATTTTTCAATTCCTACTCTATTAGCTCACACATTCTCTATATATTTAATTATTTATTTATCTTGGTGGAATTTTCAATCTTTAATAAAATACATTTTAAAGCGCTCAATTGAGCTGAAATTTTATAAACATAATTGTTTGGGATGCAATACAATAATTTAATTATAATTAATAAAAAAATTAATTGATTAAAACTAATTATTTAAAGAATTAAAAATACAGCCACGGTGGCATCATTTTTGGCGACTTGGTGACCCTTTTGGCGACTTGTGTCAAAACTTGAAAATGTTTCTTCTCACGTTTTAAAGCATTCAGTTGAACTGAAATTTTATATACATGATTGTTTTGGATAACAATACGATACTTTACAATAATTAATAAAGATTAATTACCACTTAATGTTGTGATTCTGTGTCATATGTATACAATATTCATATTAATTGTAACTATTTAGTAAAAAGTAGCTAAAATAAAATTTTTCTTTGTGGATCTAAGTAGGAATTGACTTAATATATTTTTTTTATATTACTTGTTTTTTTAACTAGCAGATATAAATAGAGACTAAGACTTCAGTGGCCACGGAGGTAAGATCAGAAACGAGTAAGAAAGGAAAGAAGTAAAACCAGTATACTAATTAATTAACAAAAATCTGAGAAAAAATGTGGTAATCTTTTTCTATATTACTTAAATCAATTTATATTTAAATAGTTTTTATGTATCTAGTCCCCTTTGTTGATGGAAAAAAAGAGGGAATAGATACAAAAAGAGAAAAGTGTGTATGTACTTATGTACGTACATAATAAGTTATACTTCTTTGGCGTAACAAGATTAAAATCTTTCTAAAAATCTTTAGCAGGGCAAGCTGGTCCAAGGATGAAAGGCGGTCATGAGCAGAGTTGAACGATACTAACCTTCAGTCAATCGGACCAGCCAAACCTGAGATAATCACGATTTAAATAAATTAAAACACCCCCGCACAGGGACAGTAGGACAAATAATATGGGGAGGGGGTCGAAGGCGGAATGATCTGTCCCGCTCTGCATACTTCTAGAGAAAGCATTTTCGTATCCATTCCTACGGAACGCAAAGCTAAAATTCGCTGACGCGGGGGTATAGTTCGGTGGTAGAGCATTCGACTACAGATCGAGTGGTCCCCGGTTCATACCTGGATGCTCCCTTCTTCAGGGAAATGAAGAGAAATATTTTTTTTTTGAGAAATTCGAAGGCGGCAATGATCTGTCCCGTTCTGTATATATTTCTAGACAAAGCATTTTTGTATGCGTTCCTATGAAACACAAAGCAAAGGTTCGCTGACGCGAAGGGATAGCTCAGTGGTAGAGCATTCGGCTGCAGATCGAGAGGTTTCCGGTTCAAACTGGGGTGTCCTCTTCTTCAGGGTAGTGAAGAGAAATATTTTTCTGAGAATTTGGAAGGCCGGAATGATTTGTCCCGTTCTGTATATTTCTAGACAAAGGATTTTCGCATCCGTGATGGTGTGCGTCACACCCGTGACGGTTTTGCTTCACATCCGTGACGGGGTGCGCGCGCATTGTAAAAATTTACCCTCATCCTATTTCTCTAACGCCCCAAAAGAAGTATAACTTCAAAAAATATTCTTATTTACTTATTCTCTTTTTTTTAAATTTATGTATGCATACAGATACACAAATACTTGACGCAGACTCTTTTCCTGCGATAAGAACACATTTCTTTATTTTGTAACGCAGAACACAACACAATGCATTGACTTGGTCTAAAGTGTCAAACTATCTTGTGTATAAGAGATTAAATGGAAATCTAAAGTTAAAATACAAGGCAAAGCCTAGTCGTCTGCATTACCAATGGGACCTAAAGAACAGTTTGGGTTATCACGAAGTTTAAAATGGTAAAAATGTGACGGAAATAGTCTGCGTCCAGTGAAAAAAACTTTGAGGGAGGGTCAAATTCGATATAAGCTCCGGAAAAAAGTTGTTTTGTTCAAGAACCAGTGACAGAGTTTTGCCAAGCATTATTACACTCTAAAATACGTTTATTTTTTAAAATATATTATGGAACTGGAGCGAGATGCAGGAATTAATATAGGGAAGCCATGGATAGTTGTTTGCGTTGCACAAAAATCCGCGATGTCGTTTAATAATAATTGTAACGTGTTCTATTCGGACTTTTACTAACCCTCTTGGGAAAATACTCTTTAACTATGATATTAGTTTAAAACCCGCTTTCAATAGAGATGACTTGGTTTTATGCAAATGCAACTTCTATTTAAGTGCAAGTCTATGAGTAGGCGAGATAATGGCTAATAGTTGATCGTAAGCTGAAATCCAAGTGTTAGCGACTGGTGGGCGCGTATCGTAAGATTAATGATAGAAGAGTCCATCGGAATAGAGGAAGGTATCAACCGTGCAGCTCAATGAGCTATGAGGTCGAAAGCCGGATCACACAAAGAGATTTAAGAAAGATAAGTATCTTTCATAATTTAAATACTTAAACTTGGGTTAAGGTTTCTTATTGCTCCCTAACTTTAGTTATTAAGCTGCCTTTCGTAAAGTGTTAAAGGTTGAGTAAAATTAGTTGTTCTAAGAACAAGTCTGCTTTTTCCTCGAACCCTCCCACACCGCGACCTCCGGGTCAAAGCATATTTAACGATAATTTATGTTGCACTCTGAAAGAACATGAGGTTTGTGAACCCCAGTCAAGTGACGGGGACGACACTTGAGCTGACAAGTTCCTCTCCTAACTTTCACAATACCAGCGGAAGGACTTTGAGCCTCAACAGATTTAACGCTCCCCAGCCCCTCTGTAAGGTGGATCGTCAGTGGAACAAAAGCTCGAAAGCGCGACTGTGATCACACGATTATCACGGCCCTAAAATTGATGAAAGGTTGTCAGTGTAAGTATGAATAAGGATATTACTAACCACCGCCCAACAGATGGAGAGTCCAATAGCGGTTATCTCTGCCTGAAGCTTGTTAAAGATGTGAATTTTATTTATTAAAAAAAAAAAAAATATTTAACGAAATCACTCATAAATGTTTAAGGAAAAATATGAAACATTTATGTCATCGTCAAATAAGAGTAGAAAAACAAATAATATATTAAAAAAAATTAAGTCAATTCCTACTTAGATCAACAAAGAAAATTTTTATTTTAGTTACTTTTTATTAAATAGTTACAATTAATATAAATATGCATATACATAGGACAGAATCACAACATTCAGTGATAATTAATTTTTATTAATTATCATTAAAATATCGTATTGTCATCCAAAACAATCGTGTACATAAAATTTCAGTTCAACTGAATGTCTTAAGACGTGACAAAAAAAAAAACCTTTTCAAGTTTTGACACAAGTCACCAAAAGGGTCGGTAAGTCGCCAAAAATGATGCCAACGTGGCTGTATTTATAATTCTTTAAATAATTAGTTTAAATCAATTAATTTTTATTAATTATAATTAAATTATTGTGTTGCCATCCAAAATAATCATGTATATAAAATTTCAGCTCAATTGAGCGCTTTAAAATGTATTTTATTAACGATTGAAAATTTCACCAAGATAAAAAAATATAGAGAGTGTGAGTTAATAGTAGGAATTGAATAATTACAATAAATGTGATCCCACACACACACATCAAATGTCTCTTTGAAATTATGTGATTGTATTAACTTTAAGAAAAATCCACAGGATATAAATCGGACAACAAAAACAAATCTTATTTTTATATGTAGCAAATATTACCATTTATTCCATGAAAAAGTAACAAATTGTTGCCATATTTATTGCATGTACAATAAAAATATACTTAACTGAATCGCATCATAAAAATAATTTGCCACGCGTGCACTTATGATTTTGTAGAAAAGTGAAAAGAATGAAAAATACGCTCTTTGCTTTAACTTAAAAGAAAATAACGAAATATTTTTATTTTGGCGAGTATTTCTAGACTTCTAATCTATTAACTCTAAATGTAGTTTTTTTTTATAACAAAAGGTAATATGCAAAAACGATTTCAAATGACTACCATTTAATTAAATAAAAATAAATTAATGCTTATTAAATATGCTTTTTTTAAATCCCTCTTCGATAAGTAACGTATGAAGTTCTGGAATTATCTAAACAACTCAAAGAGGGAAAGTGAGTTAGTAATTTATTTTAACGTATATTACAAAAATAGATATAAAACAAAATTTCTTTCTTTTTTATTTCAATTTACTGTTTTACTTTGCTCCTAATTTTCTACAGGTCATAGTAAAAATCTCAGTCTTAAAAAAAGTATGAAAGGAAATTCCACACGAGAAAAACAATTAAATCCTACATATAAAAAAAAAACATTAACCCCATTTCTTGAAACTGAGATATTGCGTTTTCGAAAACCCCTCCATGTCAACCTTTTCAAACAAATGTGATATATGAATTTTTTTTTATTCCATTTTCACAACCTAGTTTTTCTCTTCCTTAGAATTCTTCTTCAGATTGTTATATTATTAACAAATGTTTGAACTATTAACATCCCGTGCATTAAAGTAATGAACTTGCAAAAACCGAAAACGGTTAATTAAGCAAAAATCATGTTAAATACTTCTTTTCATAAAACCATTGAACCGAACACTGCGTGTTCGAAATTTCTTCGTGTGACGTAGGGCTTCTGTTTAAGATCTAAGTTGGTTCAAACCAATCACTTACCGATTCTCATTTTGTTAGCCCAATCAAGTTGAGTCGCGTGCAAATTCTTTGTCCGTTTTGAATACATCTCCATGGATACGGTGAAAATGAATCCTACAACAGCGTGAACATCCGATGACAACAACCACAAGAATGAAAAAGTGTTTCATGAGTAAGCTTCGTTTAGTCGATCAATTTCAACTCGCTTTCATTGTCTTTTTAGGAGATTCCGTTAGATAAAGAACACTCCACACGAAGAAAAGTTTTAGATAGTTATATTCTCAAGATATCGTCGAGAAAAATTTCGCTTAAATATTAATACATTTAATAAAATAGCAATTCGTTTTTCATCATAGTTTAATTATTAAAAAAGTTAGAGATTTCGGTAAAACTTTTTATTTTAAACAAGTAGTCGGTGTTAGAATATTTAATTAAATTACAAGAATATAGCCCTAAAATGGAATTCTATTGTGCTAATGTATGAAAAAAAGCATAAATTCGATAAATATAATATCGATTAAATAATACAATATCGATATCATTATTTAAGATTTGGAAAATACCGATTTAAAGAGAAAGGAGAACCTTATTTCATTTATAACAAAAATTCAGCTACTGAAGTACCGAATAATTAAATTTAAAACAAAATTATTCCCTTGTCATACAATAATAAATATTTTAAAGCCTATTAATCTCATTGAATAATTTTAATAAATTCAACAGCCATTTCTGCTAAACGATTTTTTCATCTGAAAGAAACTTTTGCTCAGTTTTGTCAAATACAAGAAACGAGTTGTCGAATATTCTGTTGCATCGATTTAAATTCCTTTTCGTAAACATTGAAAGTTTCATTCCAAACGATATTTTTCATCACCGTATAGGATCACAAAATAAATATTATTGAGAATACAGAACCTAGACTGTTCGTCAAAACGGCGTCCATAGCAACTCTGGAATCGCAAGGCGATATTCAAAAGAAACCGGGATCGGGGAATGCATTTGATATGCAGAACAGAGATCCTAACACCCTCAACGACTATTTACAGGTAAGAAAATCTTATCTTCTCTTTTCAATACTTTTTTATTCTTGTGTACTGCTTTTATTTATAAAGCATGGGAGTTTTAGAATGTATTTTTCTTTTTCAGATAAATGTGTAAAAATTTTATTTCTCCTTTCGAATCTTTTGTTGTAAGCTTTTGCTAGCTTTTTCAAATATAGAATCCAATTCATTGCACTATCGAAAATATGTTTCAGTTGCTTTTATTTGTATTTTATTGCTATTTAACAACGAATCTATTTTTGTTAGGAATATAATTATTTTCAATATTTTCTTTTTCTTGTATCTTCTGTTGTGTTGCCTGTTTATACATTCATATAAAATTATTAATTATAGTTCGCATTTATATTTTGTTACAAAGTTAAATAATATGAAATCAAAGGTAAAGTAAGGTTTTCTCTTAAAAATTGTGATGAAGTTTTAAAGTAAATCATGCAGTCAGAAAAATTCAGTTT